CGCCTAGAGGTAAAAGAAAAAAAAAAAGGAGAAAAGAAAGGATGGGGGAAGAAGATTCCTGGGTTCGCGATGAACCCAGGCTTTTAGATTCGAGACATGAGTTTCTTGTGTATGTTGTAAAGAGAAAAGAAATGGTGGGACAAGTCCTGTGTTCCTGAAGAGGATGAGAATGGTATTCACCATTGATTGTATATATTATGTGTGTTTGTTTCTTCTTTAAGTTGTATGTTGTAAAGAAAGCAGAAAAGAAATGGTGGGACAGGTTGTTGAAGCAGGAAGGGAAGCCTCCTGTGTTCCTGAAGAGGATGAGAATGGTATTCACAATTGATTGTATATATTATGTGTGTTTGTTTCTTCTTTAAGTTGTTGATTGTATCTCATGAGCCAACAAAACCTATTCAGCTTCTTTCCAGGAAGAAACTGTTAGAAACAATTAATTAACCCAAGTCATGGTGTTCAATTGATCACAGAATCACCCAACCAAATCACTCCATTTTTTTGTGCTTACCTCTTAAACAAGGGTAAGTATGGAAGGAGCTCGTGGGTTAACGACGAACCTAGGCGCTTGGGTTCGCTTGGAGGTAAAAAAAAGAAAAAAGAAAAAGGAAAGGCCAGAGGAAGGAGAAGATGGGGAAGAAGATGGGGGTAAGTATGGAAGGAGCTCATGGGTTCATGATGAACCCAGCTCTTGGGTTCACCTGGAGGTAAAAAAAAGAAAGGCAGAAGGAAAGAGAAGATGGAGAAGAAGATGGGGGGTAAATAAGTAATTAAAGGTAAAAAAAATTAAGCATGTCATCAACTATTGTGAAATGGATTTTTCACGTAATTTAAGTAAAAAAGTAAATAAATTTTTCTGTTAATTAATCTGCAACATCAACTAAAATTTAGCGAAAGGATTAAAAGTGGGTCAAATTTTAAAATTTAAAGATCAAAAAAAAATATTTTTTCGATATAAAAACTAAAAAGGAGTTTTTTTCTTATAGTAGAGGAACCAAAAAAGATATTTAACTTTGACAAACGGCACTTTGGTTTGGTTTCCAAAAAGTAAAGCGCAATTTCCTTTCAGAAGTAAGGAAACCAAGAAATAAAAGCAACGGGACAGGATAATAAAGTGGTGAATTATTGCAGGTATTAATAATGCAGAGA